CCGGGTCGACAGCAACGATATTATACCATAAAACATAGTTAAGCCACTGGGCCATCCAACCCTTAACTTAATCAAGGTATACTCAGTAATCCACGCCAGATAGTCGCTAACATAGAGACTATCTGGAGGGACAATGAGATCCTTAGGCTTGTAAGCCTCCCGAAGCATCTGTATACGATTACCTCGGAGATAAGGGTCCAATGGTTTCCCACGGCCTAACTATCTAAGGGCATAGACCGTTTAGATCGCTAAGAGCCTCCGACTCCGAATGCGAGGCGAGTGTCGATGTGGCAGCGAAGAAATAGTCCGATAACCGAAACCACCTCTTCCTTCTAACGGGGCCTTTATAGCTGGTAGTTTAACCTACCAGTTATAAATGTTTCGACGGATCGCCCCGAGTATTTCTACTCTATCATCCGCCGCTCGCGCTCGTCGACGCCATTCTTATAATGGTCTATAAGGTATAGGTAAAACTATCCTCCACAAGAAAGTGGATAGTCCTTGGGGATAAGACAGAAGGCCAGATGACCGCAAGTAACTTGTTCCATAGATATCGAACCCACGAGCATTCTTGTTTATACACATTAGATGTTATATAAACAATGTACTCGGGTTTGTTTGATAGCTAATGGATAAGAACCGCGGACAGCTAGGTCCCTGCATGGACTTCCTGGAAGAACATAAATGACATCACTGTGGTTGCTTGTGACATCAACACGAGACGAGATGTTGAGTTGGCAACAACTCTCATCATGTCGAGTGGTCACATCAACTACAGGAAGACATCTAAGATCTTCCTTAAGAAGCATACAGACAACATCGTATAATCGAAAGATGACACCATACTTGTAGGTATCTAAATCTACCTTAGGTATGTGCCACGTTCTTATATACAATGGTGCATCCATAAAATCCCGTATAGTCACACCAGGCGACAATGCCACTTCCGCGTACCATTTTCGGTATTTAAGATACATACATCTTTATCCAACCCTGATATAGAGTATACTCCATGAGTTCCTCATGATCAGAGTGTAGAAATAAATCAGAGGGAGGTAATACTAGATCTTTTGGAACGTACTGTTCTCGAAGAAAAGCGTCCTCTAATTTCAGATGTAACTACATTACCAACAATGGTTTGTAACCACAGATCACACGGTAATTTACCGTATAATCTCATTATCAAGAGTCTTTTAGCACGTTTTACCGTGTTTAGGACTCATCAGACGCCTTGATGCTGCTCTAAAACCTAATCCGGCTAACCGCAATTCTGTGGATAGACGAAGAGGTCCGTCATGGGTGAGACAAAAGTAGTACCACCCAATTGGAGAAGCAGCTGCTACCAGTTTTCGGATTGATAATGGTGACACATCACGTGTCATATTACGAATCCGAAACCGTTTAGCAAACTCCACTGCGCCTAATGGCGAAACTAAAGATTTCGACCTTGATACCTCTACACCCAGTTGGTCCAAATACTTAGTGTAAAGGGCAGCTACTTTATCATCGGCGATGACTAGATGCTTTTCATACTGAGGTCGAGGTTGTAGGCCCCCCTGTGTGTAAACTTCTTCCACATGGGGAAGGGAAGGAGCTCTTTTGCTTTTGGGGACATGTAAGACAGCCTAGCAGATCCTTTTTCATGTCCATCAAAGGTGATCCGGGAAGACGATTTCCGACATTCACCATCAAAAGGAGGGGTATACTTCTGTCCATGCCTGTTTCAAGTTCCTTATCACCCATATGCCTATTTTTCAAGAATAAGGGCTTAGCCTTTGCTCGAATGCCTCTGGCAACTAGTTCCCTTGCTGATTTGATTCCACTCCTTCATGCCATTCTATTGTTTGCAAACGAGTGAAAGGCGGAGTGACTAGGCTTTGGATTCGACAGTTGGGATAGGAATTCAGCCAATCTTTCCCATTTTCAACCAAAAATCCCGCTTTCTTACTATATGGTTATACTGCTTCTAAAGAAAGATAAGATAACTGGGTAAAGTAATCGTATTGTATTCTATACCAGGGAGAAGCTAAAGTCCAAAACGATTCCTCTCCTTGTCAAGCAGAAAATCCCTAGCCATAGCTTTCACTGTCTTACTCGCTGGCAACTGCCACTGCAAGCAGAGGGGCTTCAGGGATTACCTCAGCTCTTTAAAGGAAAGCGAAGGGTCAAATCCAATCTTGGAGAAGGCGAAGGAATGGAGACAGGCCAATAGGGACAGCGGTAACGGGAGTTCGAGTAAAAGGCTGGCTTGTAGTACGAAGGTAGGAGTAGGAGTTTTTTTCGGGAAAGGATGGAGTTCTTTCTTTTTAGTAGGAAGGCAAAGTAGCTGAATCAGCTGCAAGCTGGACTGACTAAGTGCAATGCTCGGAAATCTTCAACTGGGCTTGAAAGCGTTCACTAAATGAAAGCTTGCTTGGCATGAAGTACGCATTCAGCTAATGGCATTTAGGTTTGGCATGCTTTGGAATCTAGTGAATAAGTGAGCATTCAGCTTTGGCTGTCATATCTTTCTTCTCCCCCTCTCGAGACAACAAAAAGAGGTAGCTCCAAAAGTAAGATTGGCTTAGCGTCTGATAGCTTTGACAAAGAGAGCAATAGACTCCCCTGCTTCACCTGAACCCTCTATTCATTCAACAGAAGCCAGGGGCTGATTGAACGTAATGGGTTGCTGCATCTCATGCGATTGGAAGAGCACGAGAAGGACAAGCTACTGACTTGAGACTTCCTGTTCTATTGGAAGAGAGATGAGATTCCTTAATTGAATCGGGGAAGCACTTCCCTTTTCCAGCCTGAGAGTTCTGTACTTTCTGCCTTCAAGCCCAGTTTAAGCTTCCACGCATGTAAGGGCGCGGAAGAAAAGAAGAGCAGCCTTTAGGTAAGGAAGGACAACCACGGGAGAGGGAAAGCACTCGGTCCAATCCAACAGAGAGATAAATAAAGGAAAAGGGGAGCCTGCAACTGGAATGCAGAGAAAGGGGGTTGATCAATAGCATTGCTGATTGATAAAAGTCTGTAGCCAGAACCGTCGATTGAGAGGGATCACCTTCTCTCATTGATGAGGATGGAACAAGATGATGAAGAAGGCGGCGAAAGTATAGAGGAAAATCTGGGAAGAGAACAAGGAGATCTCTGAAAAGGGGAGGCAAGGAAGTAGTAGAAATGTTGAAGAGGAGACAACCCGCTCTTGAACTTAAGACTATGCGCGTCGCGTGCTCGATCTAGCAATTGTTTTGATGAACTGTCATTAAAAAAGAAAGAAGAGAAAGAAATGGGAGTTGGCGCCTACATAACAGGTCGCTTGCTTACCAAGCCATCCTGGCTTTTCGCTCCTCCAGTTCGATTCTTATTATTATTGACTTGACTTATAATTATAAAAACTACTTACTATAAAAATTAAAGACGATCGATTATCTACCCAAGAAGATAGAGAGTCCCACATACGAGAAAAGGTCACAAATAGAGTTGAACCAAGTAAGATTGCAAAGGCATAATGATAGTAGGGTCGGGATATCCCCGCCCTCCGAACCGGACGTGAAGGTCCCCCCTCATCCGGCTCTCTGCAGGGGAATCTCCACTCACTGCTTCCCCTAATATCCTCCCTTTACTTTACCACATCATGGGGGTTTACAGGAGATCCCAGAGGCTCGCTCGGACTCGGACAGGCAGCTATACCATACCTTTTGACTCAACTCTACTCTAGTAGTCACTGGACTCACTATAGTAGTCCGTCCGGCTGCTCTTGCTGAAATCATTACTCTTCATTCTCCCGTGCTCTAGCAATTGCGCTCCCTAGACCACTACCATGTAGTTAGGTAGAGAAAAAAAATCCGTAGTGACGGGAATCTGGGGATCCCTATAAATATAAAATTTTAAGAATATATATAGAGAAGCTACCTTTCTCTCACTCAATAGATGTATCTGGTCTGGTACGGTACAGTACAATACGAGACGATGGAATGCAATGGGATGGATGGTAGAGGGCTGCCTGCGCCCAAAAGCGATGATTCACTTGTCCCCTTGTCCATAGGGACCTCGTGGCATACAACCGAAACGACTCCCGCTATATAGCCGCCCCTATCTCTCTTTTTACAGCCTCGTGGACGGACTAAAGAAGGGAAGTTAAAGAACGGGGCAGTGAAGGCTCGAGAAGTAGACAGCAAGCTTTTCTCAGCCCCCTTTTCTATTATTTATTATTATTATTAAAGCGCTAGCGCGCCCCTATCTCTAATCAGTATTAGGGGCGTAAGCACTTCTTTTCTGTACGCTAGGGGATGGGATTCATTCACTTGCATTCCTGCTAGCACTACAAAAAGCTCCGGTCTGAACGCCCCTACTACTGCTTTGCAGCCTTTCCTCGGGTTCGTAGAGTCGGGTTTCCCGTTTACCCACAACGGAGGAGCCGCCCCCACCAGACCAGGCAGGCGGCCACGGGTCATAACGCACTCTTCGCACAACAAATCCACTTTGAAGTTGACTTATCCGCTCGGCCAATCGTCGGAATGTGTACGAGATACCATAAGGGCCCAATATCTCAATAGCACCTTTGTCTAAAGCTTCGAATGAGACTTCATATCCGAAACGCAGGAACGATCTGACTATAAAGTCATTCAAAACTTGATCGAAGAACCAGCGTTTATTGAAGAAGCTATAGAGTCGATTACTAAAAGTACTCGTTTGAAAGGCTCGTTGGAATTGATCCGCTACGGGATTTACATTATACGCAACAGAAGCACCTGAAGTACTAAACAGAATAGGTATTAGTTTGGTAATGGTTGGAGCAGCAAACTCGGATTCGGCAAGAATCTCATTTTTTGGTAGTACGAAGGGGGAATTGGCCCAAAAATTGGATAGGGGTCAAGACGCAGCCCCTACTCACTTATGCGCCGGCGGCTGACTCAAGTGCCCCCCGAACCGCGCGAAATGGTCGCCTATTACACGGCTCACTAACTCTGCCTGGGGTGTGGGGGTACCTCTTATTCGTCGGCGGTCCGGCGCACCCCTACTCACTTAAAGGATGCTGCTTAATTACTAAGGAAATTCTTTATTAATCTAGAGAGTTCCCTTTCGTTAAGCGCATCGAGCCAGGAGTGGACATCATCATCTGCAGACAAATCCAGATCCTCTTTCATCATTAGCTTAGCTAAAGTGGAATAGTATGACTGGCTTTCCGGAAAATGAGACGAAACCCGCTTTATCAATAACTAACTTATCTATCTTTGGCCACTGAAAACCGTACGGAAGCCTGACTTTGGGGTATAGGGAGAGATTATCAAGATCTGCAACATCATACTTGTTGTCCCTACTCAACTCAACTTATTAACTGCCCGTTCAAGGCGACTGATCTTCTCCTTCCGATTCCTCTTCCGATTCCGAATCAGAGGATCGGACGGTTGTGGTGGGACGTATGGCACTATCTGATTCATGGGAGTGAGAGCCAAGGACACGGCCGGTACTGCAGGAGGTTTTCTTCGCGTTTGTACGTTATTTAAATCATTCTAGCCTTTCGCTTTCTGCCCTAGGTTGTGAACTCGACATGGCTTGCGGGAATATGGGGTTTAAAAGTGAAGCAGGTGACATATATAAGATCGAGCGCGTGGATCTGTTAAAAAAAACCACTAGGAGAGTAGCTTAGATAGTATGCCTCGACCGGAAGCCTGATCGCTCTAGGCTGTCTTTCCGACAGTGCAGTTTACTTAGCTTAGGGGAGTCACGTTTTTGATAAATGAAAAGTGGATCGATCCGCTTCTCCTTAAAGAAAAATAAAGTAATAAAGAACTAGCCTAGTGGAATATGTAGTCCGGATTACGGTAGCAGTTCCCCAATAACGGTTACAGCAGGTCTCTTAGAGCCAGTTCTAGTAATAAGGATTCTAACTATTGGAAATATTTATTGGTAGTACGGGGGAATCAGCTTCATTCAATGCCAGCATCTCTCTCAGCTGCAAGAAGATCAACTGCATTGCCAAGCTCCAACTCTGCTTTTAGCTTTAGTCGGCTGAGCTACTCTCCTCCTGGAGTTCGGAATCGGCAAGAGAGAAGAGGGACGTACTTAACAAGGAAGTGGAATCAATCCCGTTTGCTACAGGATTATTTCGATCTGGTAAACCCCTTTTTACTATAAAGTAAAATCTCAGTTTGAAACTCCTAGCTCAAACTAACAGCGTATTGTCCCATCTCCTAGCTCAAACTAAGAGCAGTTTTGGAATGAAACTTCCTCCCTATTCCTATGGGTCGAGTGAGCTCTTGCTTCTCCGCTTCGAGTAGCCGACTCGCCCTTTCTTACCAGATATTTGATTCCCTAAAAGATGCCGAGCCAAGATTCGGACCAGGTGATTTTCTTCCTCTTCCTCTAGTTAGGCATAGTCCGAATTAGCTCGTCAGTGGTAGAAGCTGGTTCATCGGCTTAAGCCAGTCAATCTATCCAAAGAGCCTACCCTACGCTATAATAGATTAAGCTCCAGCTGCGCTTTGCTGATTTCTTTCTCAATCCTGAATCCGAACTTGCAACTTTAATCACGAAAGACGCTTTCTCAGTATCTATTCAATTCGGACTTCATGCTCACTTCAGAAATGAAGCTAATAAGGCCTAAAGCTGAGCGACGAGTCCAGTCCCAAAACCACACCTGGCATGAGAATCAAGCGAAGTAGAGCGATAAGCACACTATCGATTGATCCAAAGAAGCTTAACGACAACTTCCATTCCTGGCCCAGAAGGAAAGAGACGAAATCCCTTGCTCCATCAAAGGAAGCTAATGGGCCGCCCTTAGAAAACCATGAATCTTAACCCTAGTGAAGGTAGTCGATGAGAGGAATAGGTGGTTTCCAAAGGATAGAGTCATTTTATATGACGCTCTATCTGTATTGGATGGATGCCTTAGCTGTGGGATAGAAGGCTTTTCTTTCAAGTCTTCTTTTCTTTGATCGCCCTTTGTAGTTAGTCTAGGGCCTTGACTTGAACACTTCGCTGAAATCATGTAGAAGAGGTCATCCCTTAGTGGACTGATTAAACCTTGTAGCATAGCTTGTTTTGTTGCCCTTAGACCGGTCTCCCCTCATTCATGCCTTCCTTCAAGGCCTATTCTTTTGGATATCCTTGTTCCCCTCTTTCCTGGAACATCCTTTTATTCTGATTGATTGATGGGACTTCTGTCTGAAATCCCTTGACCTAACCTCTCCTTGACTTGCCGCAGCCAAGTCTTCCCCAACCTCTCCTGATGTTCTTGGTGAGCTAGCCAGCCTGTCATCCACCGCCCCAACTGTGATGGTCGTCCCCCCTTCGGCTAGTTCTTTCACAAGTGACCCTGTCTTCCATCTGCTTCTTCCTCCTAAGGCTTTTTTCCCCCTAGCCAACCAAACCAAGTGGTTCTGTCTTTCTTCTAGTAGGTACTCTAGAGGTCTTCAGCCCCATGTTCCACAGATGGACAGCCGGGGGACGACAGGACCGGGTTCTATCTCATGATGCTGCTGCTACGCTCATTTGGTCGAGCAAGGTCTTCCCTTGTCTTCTATGTATGGCTGGCTCTTCTTGATCTTGAGGTCATGGGCTAACTCGACCGGACCATAGGGAGAGGGGTTCAAGATGCCCTCGTCTAAGTCTGTCTATTTCTTTCTTTGCTTTAGGAGCTCGTAGGTCTCAAGGGTTGTTTTCCAACTCGACCGGAGGACTCTGTTGAGATGTCAACTGCTAAGGGAACGTCTTCCGGATCGATCGAAGAGGGAGGTGAAAAGAAGAAGTTTAGTATATCATAGCTGACCGCAGGTTGGAGAATCTCCGCTTGCCCTGTTGAAACCTCACCCTATGTCAGCAGTGAAGTCTTGCTCGTCGAAGACGTAGAAATGAAACTGTGTAGATAGAGGTGAAGGTTATCAAATGAACAACTTATCAATCCTCGTAGTCGATTGTTTTTGTGGAAGATGTACCCCGGCCCTGTATCATGAACACATGAAGGGTACGGCATCGGGTCAAATAGGAAGAATTCTCCAAACACTAAAATCCTCGTTGGACGGAAAAAGGAAGGCGAAAGCCTATCTATAACTAGGGACCGCCAACCCAGACTTTGATCAACAATAGGCCAACTGCTTATTCTGGTAGTGAAAAGAAAGCCCATACCTAACTCGCTATGCTTACAGCTTGGCACGGTCCCGTGCTATGCTACGAGATTCTAAATACCCTTCCTCGCCGCCACCTTCCTTCTGAGCCAGCCCGATTGGAATCTTTTACACTTTCGTTATCTTTCTTTTATTGATCCAGCCTATACCTATTTCCTCTTGCTTCGTGCGGCCGGGCCTTTACCTCATAGAACAGAAATCCTGTTTAGGAATCTAGCAGCCATCAAGACTGAAGGCGAGTCAAGAAGGAACGGAGAGTTTACAATTCACAACCTGGCATCCCACACAGAAGACGATTTTGATTTGATAGCAGACTTTATTTTGTGCCAAAGGGAGTTATAATGTGCTTTGGTTCACGTATATCCCTATATAGATAGGCTCTGTAGTCGGGCTTAAGCCAGTTTCACCGAGGGTTTAAGCAGTGATTAGGTACGAGCAATAGTCTGATTAGGATGATGCTGGAACTGCGCTCTCTATTAAGAGCAGAAAAGACTGATCACTAAAGAGATACACTGATTTAGTGTGTAGTTCCTTTGTGCCCAGAGGACTTGAAAGAGCTTCCTTAGGATTCTACCTCAATTCAAAGTCGTAAGTCTTTCGCTTGCCAACTTAGGAGTACGGGGCTCGTTGGTCTTGGTTTCGATTCCAGAGATCGAGATTCGAATTAGCTCTTTTCGAACTAAAAATAAAGTGAGGTGAGTGAGCAAGCAACTCCTAAAAATGGAAATAAAGGAGAGTTCTTTCACTTCCGGGAATTAAGTAGAGGATCCCGGCTTCCCTATCTGATGATTAGGATGATGCCTGAACTGGAACTGGTGGAATCCCTACTAGTCCACGATGTTGGTGCCTTTTCTGCTCTTGTCGGAGTAGCTACTCTTGGTGCTTTTGGCTTAAGGAAGCAAGTAAGCTGAGGGAGTTCTGTGGTGAAGGACTACGCGCTGCTAATGTCCACATTCGGTCGGTCTTCAAGTGAGTGAGATGAGGAGTGAAGAGATTCGGGTTAGCCAAGTACCATCCATTTAGCTATCGGACGATGTGATCGTCCGCCCATTATTTATTCTTCACCCCGCTTCTGGTCTTCCCACATGCAACTGGTATGCGGTAAGACAAGTCTTCATTCTACCGCGGGTTAGAATATGCTCTTCCTTTTCCGAATGTTAGCAAGAAGGAGATCTTTCGGAAGATCAGATAGAATGCCCTGTTCAGTTTGAAAGTGAACTCATATCCTAATCATAGAGTGGAAGAATGGCTTGTGCTTGTGACAGTCAGAAGCAGAAGAAATAAAGGAACTTAAACCGTTAATTACGAGCAGGGAATAGGCCTTACTCCATTGGGATGAGACAATTCATCTTTCTCCTATATAAAAGTCTGAAAGAGGTTTACTTTCTTTCAAAGAGTTAGCAGGGTAAGGGCTTAGAAGAGATTAGCGTTTTGGCAACAGTGGAGGACTCGTCTTGGCTAGCACACCCTTCCCTTGCTTTTTAACTTCCTGGCTCTCGCATGGGCTGAAACCAAATCAAGAATAGCGGGAATGGCAACAAAGATGGCTGCTTACACTAAACCCTATCATGGATACTGAGGGATTGATACTGTCAAAACTGGCACTTCCTTCTCTAACTCACGCATATTGGGATTCTGCTTCACTGGAACATTCACTTTCAGGGAAATCCAGTACAGGAGCGAAGCAACTAAAAGATAGGGATAGGGTAGAAAGGTAAACGCTTACCGCCTTGCCTCCTCACATTGGAAAGGGGGGCTAGAATCAACTTCCCTTACCTACGATCGGCTCAGGATCGATAGGCCAATTGACTAGATAAGAAAGAGGTGAACCTGCTGTTCCAGAGCAGAAGTAGGCGCGTAAGCCACTTCATCTTCATTTACAGATTACGGAA